TGTGTGTGTGTTTTATATTATAGTGAATATTATTATATGATATATATATTATTATATGATATATACATTATTATATTATACAGAATATTATTACATGCTATATATATTATTATATGATATATACATTATTATATTATACAGAATATTATTACATGCTATATATATTATTATATGATATATATATTATTATATGATATATATATTATGATATACATTATTATATTATAGTGAATATTATTATATTATACAGGATATTATTATATGATATATATATTATTATATGATATACTGTACATTATATTATAGTGAATATTATTATACGATATATATATATTATATTATACTGAGACTATAATAAGATGTTGTGACATGTTAAACAAAGTGTTATTTTCTGCTTTTTTCATGTTGGAATACAGGTTAAATATTTAACTATAAAGTAGTAATGCGTGTTTGATACCTTAATGTGTTTGCATGAAATCATTCTGGGATGTTTGCTGACATTGATCGATGTGGCTCAGCCCTACAGAGAACATGCTCCACCAGCTCCACTGCGTTAGCTGTATACATCGGTGCATGCGAGTCACAATAAGAAGTAGTGAATATGCTTCCCATGTTATAGGTTTATTGTAAATATATACTCAGTATTCATACCTGTACAAAGTCTGCTGGCCCATGCAAAACATTTGTATCAAAACTTTATTCAGTAGAACCAGTTGTGGAGTAACATAGCCATGCTTTTGTATTTAGTAGTTCAGGTTGTAACACACATCACCAGGTTTCCAGACTTCCTTCTTTCATGCAGTTTTTACAAGGAGCTGCACTCATCATGCTCAGTCATCAGCTGCTCACTTTGCTACAGAATAAAGTTTTATGATCATGACAGCAGGCGTCACTTGTGTTGGAGGCGGAGCTATCCGTGACATTTAGGCACACTAATGGATTCTGAAAGGACTGGAAACACATTAAAGGGTCAGTTCAACCAATTCACTACAAACACCTTGTTTGCTTCCAGTAGATTAGTGTTTAGACATGCAGAGGTTTTGGCAGTGATTTCTGCCTCTGACCCAAATACCATGAATGTGAAATGAATTCTGTTTCTGTTGCTCTAAACATCACACTATTACAAATACTGACTTTTTTGTAGAAACCAGTGTTCTCACAGACCTCACCGTTTCTATTGGAACCACCATCTTCCAGAGAAATCAAACCCATACAAGCTATCGACAGCGTGTTAGCTGGTGGTTCCAAAGCTGTGGGGCAGGACCCCGAGAGGGGACGCAGTACTACAGATGAATAAACCTGCATTGCATGACAGGTGACATTTTGTTTTTTTTACAGCTTCTAAAGGGGAATCTGGCAACGACACTGTTAATATAAATCAACGTTTTCATTGCGAATGAACTAGATTCCATTCACCTCCAATGCACCAAGATAGTAGGAAGATAAAACCCAAACTGTCTACACGTGAGAAGAGGATCTTTGTAATTTGGGTGAACTAGATTTAAAGGAGCAGTGTGTAGGATTTAGTGACATCTAGTGGTGCAGTTGCAGATTGCAGCCAACTGAACACCCTCCGTTCACACGGGGCTCATTCTAAGCTAACGAGTAAGTTGTGAATAAAAACATAGTTATGGATATTATATTCAATTTCTATTATTGGCACCAATTCTTGCTTTTTGCTTCTAATTTTATCGCCATATAGTCTGTCTTGACTGCTGTAAATGTGTTTGCGTGAATATGCTACGCTCAGATAAAGTGATGTAAAGAGGTTTGGAAGGACAGGATGTGGGCGGGTCAAACAAACACGACTTTAAACTAGGAGACCAGTGTTCGTGTCCCAAGGTGTTGTTGAGATATTTCAAAGTTACGTTACTGATGTTTGTGACGTGTTTTACTTGCGTTACATCGTTTACGCTTTACAAACTTATTTTAGGCCCAAGCATGTTTTTCGACTGCTTCATGGTAACAAAGTGGTGTAAAACGTGCACCATGACGAGCAGAACGACCTTAAAACAACGTGATATTTATGAGATCAGACACACTGAACCTTTAAAGAGTAACTCTTTAAATCTGTTTTTTGCTGAACTCTAGTGTTTGAAGCTCTCGCTTGCTGCAGCGTAATGAGCTCAGAGGAGCAGAAGAGTTAAAGGTTTGAACTAACAGGTCAATAAAATGCTGTTAAATCACTAACAGCAGCTAAAAGAACAAAGTATAAAAAAGAGAATTCAGCATCACGACTCTAAGACGTCACGAATGCATCATCATCCAAAAACAACGAGCTTAAGCATCAAATATGACCGTTACAAATAAAACACTGAACGCTCCCCACCAACAGGGACATTACATCAATGACCACCGGTCTCTGTATTTCAAAATAAAAGTCCATAAAGAACATCCGACATATATTGAGGCTACAATGCTGTTTTGTTTTTCGTTACGTATCACAGCTCATCCTGTTGCTACCGTTTGCTTTCTGTCTCTAAACTTACGTTATGACGTCTTAACTGTTTTATTATAAACACACGGTTCAGTTAACTAGAGTTTAATGAAGCTTGAATGAAAGTGTGCGTGTTGTAATTATATAAAGCATCACTTCATTTGAGCTAAAATGAGTTAATTAAAAAAGATAAAAAAGAAAGAAAATGTGATTGCATGAGAAGACAGATGTTTGCTCACTTAGATGGAGGAGTGATGAAAACACAATAACTATTAACGTATAGCGCACCTAAACATCAAACAATGAAGACATCAGATGACACAGCTCATCACAGAGACTGAAGACGGAAACCAGAACGACGTCCAAACAAACACCAAACGAGCAGTAGAGGAGCCGATGGAACAGCATGCGAGCACAGAATGGAAACAGGTTTATTCAACGTGAGCAGGAATGTCATCAGACTTCTGACTGAAATGAATGAAAGAAGACAAAAAAACTAAGAGGAAGGAATCACAAATCTGGAAGCAAAGTTTGCACCAACAAACAAACTGTAGATGCAGAAGCTACCGCCTCGCGTCAGGACGAGTGTTTTTATCTCATGGGGGGGGGGGGGGGGTCTATCTCTACAGGAGCTCATTGATTCTATCAGTGCAGTCGTTCTGATCAACCGTCTCATCACAGCTGCACGCTGCCCGACTAAACACACAAGTATTCTTCATAAATACAAATAAAAGTACAAACAGACTTTGTTGATGATTTGTGAGCATCTATACGACCCGGACACCAGCTGGAGGAAAACAACAACAAAGGAAGTTGCTCGATAATTAGAATCTCCTGCCGGCTTTGGATCCCGGCTCATGTTTCTTTAAGCAGACGTGACTTTTGTTCCTCTTCTGTCGGTTCTTGTGGTTTCTGTTCAGGAAGCTGCCGGGCTCACTCCACCTTGCTGTAGTCCTCCACGTGGCCCAGAACCTTCTTCCTCTGCCGGATCATGTGGAAGTAAAGCTGGGGGAAGACTGGGGGGGGGGGGGGTCAGTGATTAATGAGAAATCATAATCACTTTAAAATGTTCTTTATTTAAATTAGAATAATCATGTAAAGATGATCGTTCCCTCTAAGATTAGAAATCATATAATCAGCATCAACAAGCCTTCCTGCATGTTCACACCTGAACCATCGAGTGTTCTTCAGAAGTGAGGAAATTACAAGAAGAAAAACTAAACTTTCTTTTCTTTGGTAAATGCAGTGAACTTCTGAATATTTGTATTGTTTTTTCTGGACGAACAACATCGTCTCTGCTTACGGGGAATGTAGGAGATCATGACGAGGATGAGGAAGCTGTAGTAGTCGAAGGAGAAGTTGTACTTGTTGGGCAGCGTGACGGAGTACAGACCCGTCTTCTGGACGAAGGGCAGCGCTGCGTAGATGGTCAGCAGCTCCCCGCTCACTCCCATGGGATACAGCGCGAAGAAAAAGGTGTACCTGCAGCAGAGGAACCAGGAATCATACTTCATTATTGTTCATCAGGTCTGAGTACAAACGGACAAACACTGAGGGAGCCGGGATGGATGTGGAGTCAGGTTGTTACTGTTTGCATGCTGTGAACATATGCACTCTTCTGCTTTACACAAACTGACGGAGGGGAAGAACACGGAGCTGCAGAACAAATGTTCTTATAAAATGTGCGTGGAGCAGAAGAGAAGACGTGTGTGCATCATCAGGTCAGGAGGACGCTACGTTGTCTAAATGTCTTATTCATCGATAGATCCTGATCCTGTGCTCCGTGCCTGTTGTTCTGTGTTCATTGTTCACTGAGCTGCACAGCCTCTTTATGTACCAACAGTTCTGAGTCTAAGCGAAGTGTTGCCAGAGGCAGCAACACCAGAGTTCAGTTTTTATCTCTTCAAAGGAAATATGATGAATGTTTGAGAATATATTCAAGTAGGTTCAAGTAAACTAACTTTACTTACATGCACAACTTACTCCCTAATATTCATGTTTGCATGCAGCCCTGAATCCTGTGATTAATCTGAAACGATGAAGACGCTCTACAGCTTCGTCCTTTACGTAACGTTCGTCTCCCTCCTCTTCCAGCTGCAGTCGTGTCGTCATCGCTCTGCAGGCTTAGCTAAACTGGGCTAAAACGCAAACACAGAGCCGACAGTAAACAAGCAAAGTGCAGTAAAACACTGACTGAGAGGCGTAATCTGAGTGCACTAAAAACCTGAACATCATCAGCATAACCACACACGTGTGAATCAGACAACACGACGTTCAGAATATTAGTGTGCATGTAAACACAGTCTGACAAATACTTTAAAGTAAAAGTTAAAAGGCTGCTCTCAGTGTTCAATCTCAAACCACAGAGTAGAGCTGCTGTGAAGAAGTGGAGCAAACAGCTGACACGAGTCACACGGCATCATATCACCGTGATGTCACATGATTACAGCCAAAGCTCTGGAGACGCAGGAGATGAATCCCAACAGGCAGACAGAGGTGGAGATCATTGATGCTGGCTACAGCAACATGTATCTGTATTAGATGAGTTGTTTTTAGCAGCGTGTAAAATAAGTCCAGAAATTTTAGTTTAAATCATTAAAAATAATGTGAAGAGGTTACAGTGTTGACGTTGTGTCAAAGACAGAGATATCTACTGACGTTAGCATGCTAACCAGCTAGCCCGCGGCCTGTTCTGTCTTGTAATACCACTTTTAACCTGGAGAGGTGATAGTGAGTCACTGTAGCATCCAATCTGTCATCAGTCCAACCAGACAACCTCTTCTGAAGAGTGAAGCCGATGCTTCATGTGTTAAAGCTGCATTCTCTCTAGTG